AAGTAAAGGAAAAATTTAAAAAATTGAAAATTATGGTTCTAAAAGTAGTGTAGATCGTAATTTTTATCGATTTAAACTTTACTTTTAAATAAAACTGAAATAAATAATTTTTAAAATTTGTTATTTTATTTGAGATAAAAGTCGATTAAAGTCCATAATCTTGCAGAATTGGTGTTGTAGTTTTTTCAAATTTGTTGATTTTTATCTGAAATTACACTGAATTCGAAACCTCTCCTTCTCCAATTCAGAATCATAAACAATAAATCAAATCGCATTACCTTCCTTTCAAAAAAGTTATACTGGATTTATATTATAAACACATTGGGCATGAGGACATGGGTTATCGTAAAGTAAAGACGTCTTTCAGAAAACCTATATTTCCATGCTTACTGATCAATTGATACACAGGAGCAAACTCATTAAAAATGTGCATTTTTATAATAAAATGGATTGAAAAATTTATCTGCAAAAAGACTGGTCGCTGACCTTTAAGCAAAAGGAAAAAGGTCGATTTATGACTAACCAACAATAAATAAGAGGTCTATACGACGCCTATACCGTGGTCTATACCAAGATCTTCATAAGACATAAATCAACATCTACATTAACTTCGAACTTGGAATTCATTCCCAAATGGAGCGTTATATTTTGTCAATATTGTTGACAAATAAAATTGGATAGCGATATTTTAATAAACTGTATATATACAAAAAAAAATTGAAAAACAACATCAAAAATATCTACCTAAGATTTCACATGGAATTATATAAAGGAAAGTATATAGTATTTCATGTGGGAATTTTCAGTTCGCTGCTTTATGCAGACGACAGTTTACAAAAATTAAAAATTATTTAATTAAAAATCAAATAATATTACTGCCATTCATCTGAAAAGAAAAAAATGTTGTGCTTTACAATACAACTTCTGAGTTAGAGTCTCAGTTTTTATAGGCAAGACTGATCTTAACAGTGAAAATAATTTTCACCATCTGGCGGCGTTTTTTGTTTACGTTGACGTTTGCGAGCACTCGTTCACTAAAACTTGTAGTGCAAATGACAACGTAAACAATATCTTGTTGCATAATATACTATTATATCCGCTTGCCAGACCCCGGGCGGGAATCAGTTACTTTGCGCCTGCCTTAAGTACCCAAAATGATATACTTTCCGTGCAGATAGGCCAAAAAAATTATTTATTTCTAAAATTTTGTATTCAATCAGTCATTGAATTAAGTATTGAGTCTAAAAGCCTACAATGTGCCTCATTTTAAAGAAATGTTTACTAGAATTGGTAAACGAAAAATGTTTTGAAATTCGTCATATTGTTTAGAAACAGCAATTATTATAAAAAAGGTTCAATTTTGCTAAATATTTTATTTTTTATCGTAACCACCACAACAGTAACAGTAGCCATATAGTAATTTTTGCTTTGTTATAATGGTTGCTATGGTAATGCTTCTTGCATAATATTTTTAAATGTAAATATTGTAAAGCATTTTTGTTATTAAAATAACATATATATTTTTTTAATTAATCTTATATGTCTACAATTAAAAAATTATGGTTATCAATTGCGATCTGTAGAACTTTTTGAACCAAGATTTTCAATTTTTTCCTTCTGCCACTACTAATTTCGGGGCATGCTTTTCTTTTTTTAATAAGAGAAGCATTATTTTATTTATATGTTGAATTTTTATAAAGTAAAGTTGGAGTAATTCCACATTTAGTAACTGATGCTTAAAAATTTAATTATTAATAACTAAATTAAACAATTTTTAAACACATTTGAGGAACGTTAGTTCATTTTGTAGTACAAATTTATGTAAACCCACTGAACTTTAAAGAATGATGCTAATTATATGTTATGGAAAGTATGGTTGCTTTTTACAAATAAGGAAATATAATATGATAAATGAGATATAATATTTGAACACCAAAAGCAAATGAAATGTAAAAAGATATGTAAAAATGGAAAGTCTTTGTAGAAAATTAATTTGTAAAAAGGCCATACAAATTTAAAGCGAAAGTACAAACATATGTTAATATCAGTGCGAAATTTAAAAAACAACTCGAAGTAACAATTTTTGTACAATTTGCATGAATTATCAATACGAAAAACGTTTCAAAATGCCACACGAATTCCAATCGAATTTCAATTATTTTCATCTGGAAAGTTACAGGGTATTGAAATACTTTTTTCAATATCATTGTAACAGCTTAGCTTGATTAATTAACCTCTGTAGGCTAATGAAAAATTTATTAGTAAGATCGATGTTGTAAAATAAATAAATGCAAAATTGCAAATAATTTATTTGAAATATTAATTGTATTCAGTAAGTCTTTTAGTAATTTCTTTAATTTTGATAAATAATTCTAAGAATTATATTTTCTTTTGTGTATATTTTTGTACCTGAAAATTAGTTTTTATTTATTTTGAAAAACCATGCTCACAAAATATCGTTTTTGTAATATCAAAAATTATGTTAAATAAATTTGATTAAAAGTTTCCGAAATCGAATATTAAATTAATCTGCAATGAACAGCATTTGTTGACTACACTAATCGAAATAGGTGATTCCTTCGAAATACGGGAATTATGCATGGTGACTATTTAAAAATTATGTCACTATTTTAATTGACAGTTCAAAAAATGAATTTTAATGTACAATTTTTAAATAGTAGCTATGCATAATAAGTAATGCATATTTAATAATTATGCACAATTTTTCGACTGGGTATGCGCAAAAAATTTCCTGCAGGAGTTAATTGCTCCATTGTCAAGGCTCTGTTGTTAAAACTGCATGAGAAACAATGGCCATATAAAAATTTTGCATGTTAACTGATAACTTGAAAGATGTGTCACATTCAAATTTCTGCCTATGAAACGTCGCAAGACGACATATTAATGACCCTTTTCATTTTCGTGGTCTTTTTTAATTCAATTTTAATAATTTAAGTTATTTTTAAGCTTTAAGGGCTGGGATAAGTGAAATTTTAATCCATAGATATTTAACAATAAATAACAAATTAAGTGTATAAAAAAATTAACCGATAGGAAGTATACGTTGTTTATTGGTGTCAATATTTTCCGGTATTCTTTAAAAAATAAAACCATATTTTATTTTGAAACATTGAAGATATATAAGATATTTATAAATGAATAAATTTTGCTCACATTTCTTTTCCAGTGGGCATAAAACTATGTTCGTTCTAAAAATGTTTTTAGAACGTTTCATGTCCGCCAAATAATGTTCTGGAACATTTTAAGAACATGGATGTTCAAATAATGATCTAAAACATTTTTTGGCAGACATGAAACGTTCTAAAAACTTTTTAAGGATTGTAGAACACTTTTCCCAAAGATTTTTTTCCCAACCAAAACTTTTCCCAACCAAAACTTTTCCAAATAACATATTATTTTCCCAAAACCTTTTAAAACCAAATAATAATAATTATTATTTTATTTATTTCAAATATATATATATATATATATATATATATATATAAACATTTTTTATGATTTTCCAAGGGATGCAAGTTTAGGGTTAAAATGTTTTCCAACCAACCGTGTTTATCTAGGCAATCTATGACGATGAGGGTACATATTTCTATTACGGATCTTAGACTAGCACCAAAAAGTAGGAATAATATGGAGTTTATTGGGGTTCTAAATGCGAAAAATAATAGTGAGGGTGACGAAAATCATAATCAACGAGGATTATATTTGATAAATTACCTTAATACAATTGCCATTAAATATAGGGCCGCTTAGATTATTAAAATGGCCATCAAACAATCTTATTAGAAATCCAACAAAAAGAAATGTCCTATTCAAAATGATCCTGGCCGGAATTTCAGATTTCTAGGTTGCTATCATTTGCAGAGTGCTTTTGAATTACAATTATTTTTTCTAATATTTTATTTCAACAATAGCAGAAATATTTTTTTTTATTTTATATTATATTTTCTTTTCTCTATATGAATATTTAGTAATTTTTAAGTAAAAAATATTGATTAATACTTATTTAAATAATTATAATTTTACAAGTTTTCAAATATTTTCAAAACTTAAAAAGATCCTAGCCTGAAAATTACATGTCTTGTAAAAAATGAGTCAAGCTTTCCATTGAGACAGTTAAAAAAATAAAAAAAAAATCGATTTTACCTTAAAAAAAAAATATAAAACAACTCGACTTGAAACAAACATTCTGTAAAATTAGCATCTTGCAGTTAAAGTCCCCTTTCTCGTGGAGCATAGCATATGTCTAATAAGTAAACGATAACGTTTAACTTAATTTAGGAATTAAATTATTTTGAGGTCAAAATGTGTCTCAGATATTGTTGAATTTGTACTTGCTGAACATTTTGTTAATTAATTTTAATGTTCATAGATAGATGCAGATGGGAATAGCGGCTGAGTCTTTTTAAAGTTTACATTTACTTAAATTATTATTTACTGTCCGTTTATATGCAAAGTTGGATAATAGAAATACGAATATGACACATATTTTTCACGTAAATTTTCCCTGTCAAACATGAATCAATGAATAGTTTCTATTAAAAAATTATTTACAAGACATTTGTAACTGTAAATAGACGATGAATACCCTTTTGGAATTAATAAATTGCAAATTATGAAAAAACGTTGGTCATGTAGTGCAGTTTTAAAAGCATATTCTTATGCAGTACAGTGTAGACTATCAGAATCACGCATTTAGATTTGTGTAGTCAGAGGCAGATCATTTTTTTTTGTTGGACAATGTTATTTGCTAATAAAGTCTCTAATCAACAATATTATTGGAGAAATTTAATACTACTTACGAAAAGACATGTTAGTATATAAATGAAGATTTTTTTATCTGAGCTTGAAAAAGATGCACATATAAGAAGTTGTCATGCATTTGTTTTTGAAGAAAAGTAATTGTTATCATTGAAGAGGTCTTTATCTCTGTAATTTATTTTATATTCATTTTTGTATTTTTTCCCAATTTGTTTACCCACCTGGGATAGGAAGCCGGCAACGTCGATTGCACTATTGACACGTGGTCTAGAGGGCCTTGGCCATGTAACACCACCCCCGCTGTCCATTGAGTCCAAGTGCTGGTTCGACCAGTGCAGATGCTGCAAATTTTGCTGACTTATGCATGCAGAATCGTAAAAATATGCAGATCAAGCAACTTTTTTTGCAATTGAATTGAATCTTCACATATTACTGTCGAAGATCTCATCACGGTGGGTCGGCAACCAATTGTAAGTTTAACCCTAACACTTTTAAATTTCAGATTTTTTTTGTAAAATTTACATTTGTAATAATTTCCTCTAAGTAATTTAATATCAAAATAAAAAAAATCAGTAAAAATTTTCTTACGAAACGGAATTTTTTTATCTTTTCAGGTAGAATTTTTTGCTGCTCAGCAATAATAACATCACAAATATCTGTGCACTACAAATTTTCTTGTATATTTTATTAGAAAAAAATCGTTAAATGAATTTTCATGAAAATCGATGTTTTATATTCTATGCAAAAAAAAAATTGATTATCTATGAAAATTAATTTAACATTTTTTTAGTTTTAAATTATTTAGACAATTCTTCAGAAAAACATTTACAAGAGAATTCAAAATTGCACAAACTTTTGGGTTGAACTTAATGCTAAGCAGAAGGGTTTTTAGCATTACAAAAATTAATTTTTTTCATTTTGTAACTAAATTACTTGCAGATAAAATTATATAAACAAATTTTTCAAAAAATTTTGAAGTGTAAACCTTTCAGTTGATTGTTGAACCGACCGACTGTGCTCATATATTTCATGTAACTCATGAGATAAAGAAAACTATATAATAATTAATTTCGTAATGTTTTAATTAAAAGTATTTAATATTTTAACCTGAAAATATTTTAAAAAGATAAACTGACAAAATTTCCAGGAAATTGTACAACTTTTAAGTAAATTTTACTGACTTGTTTAATTACCAAATCATAATAATAAGTTTGATGGTTTATCTAGATAGTTAGTAAAATTTACTAAAATAATTTCTAAGTAAGAAAATTTTGTGGAGGGAAACCACTATAGAAGGCTGATTTTTAGATTATTTTTAGGAATTTTTTTAAAAAGAACAAAATTCTTTATGTTAATTTGAACTAAAATGTCAGACAGCACATACTTCAAAGTGTATCTGAAATTTTATGAAACATTTTGTTTAAATGTTAGACTTTGTAAGATATTGTTCTACGAGGGAAGCGTCCGGTTTTGTAATTGGCGTACACTCTTACTTTTAATTAACTACAAAAAAAATCAAAATTTTTTTTACATTATTTAAGTATTTTCCATGTATGTGAACCTCCCTTTCGTCAAGAAACTTGAAAGTTCAAAAAACATCACTTTTTTAAGTCAAAATTTTCAATTAAAAAAAGTATTTCGCAAAAAAAATATATTTAATATTTAAGTTTAAAAATTGCAACAAAGGTTCATATTGGTAATATGTATTAATTATACAAAGTCTTTACAGTTAATTTGCTATTCCTGCATCATATAGCATCCTTTCTTTTTTTTGCAAAGACTTTATTTTTTTAAATAAAGTTTATTTATTATTATTTATTAATAATTATTATATTTTATCATTATTATTCCCCGCATGTTGGTCAACCGGAGCAGGCTTCTTTTATGCTCGTCTCATGTAAGATGTACTTCGAATATCGCTCAAATACTTTTTTAGCATACCATTTGATACGTCTACTAAAGATTTATCAAAAAAAAATATTGTGATTTCTAAAGTGGTTTCCCCCCTTAATGTCAAAAAATTGTTTGCATATTGAATAAGATTAATAAACTTCATAAAACATTGTAGTGCAAAATAATTTGTTCTTTTTACAATTAGTACATTAAAATTGACGTGATACATTAAATAGCCCTGCAGAAATTGCCCGACTACCCCAAATCCTTCTGAAACAGTGAATTCGGTACACAATTCTAATCGAGTTTCGACTTTAATCATAATAATAAGAAATTCGAATTTTTGCTACGGACTTATCCGAAGTCAGGTCTAAATTTCTATACGGGCTATTATAAATATTTAAACATGTGTAATAATATGAGTATTTACAAAAATATGATTTTTGTATAAATGAAGTGTAGTAAAGTTTTCGTGCAATCCTTCTTTTTAGGAGGCAACTGTTTATCATGTAAAATGAATGTAGGGGAGACCGGGGCTGTTTGTTGTAGGGGTTGCTTGGCGCACTTGAGTTTATTCAAAAGTGTTAAGTTAAACTAATTTTTCTCTTCATTCAAGTTAAAGTACTTGATAAACTGTAAGTTTGTACAAAATTTCAGTAATATTCATTAATTATTGAGGAGTATAGATTAAAATAACTGATTTTGGCACTCCAAAGTAATTTTTTAACGTCTTCATTTTTTTGTGATATCTCTTTAAAAAATGAATTTTAGAAAAGCTCAAATATTAAATTTTGAGCTCTATACATTTTTTATTAATAAACAAAAAAAATTTTTGATTTATATTAACAGTCTTTATAAAAAATTAATAAATATTTCAAAAGTACATTCGGGGTTAGGTGGCGCGTTTATCTGAAAATTTCGTTAAATATTAATAGAATGATTAAATTAAATTGATTATATATAGTTTACACATTAGTAAGCACCAATAATAATCCTTTTCAAAAAATTTAACCGAATAATGGGTTTTTAAATATTCACAGCGTAATTATAAAAAAAAAAATTTTTGATAATTTTACGATTTTATAGAAAATGCTTTTAATTTAAATGAAATTTTCTAATTTTAAAAATAATTTTATTGTTATAATTTAATATATTTATAATTTAATTAATTTCACTCCTGCGTCACGCAACCCCGGGCCGGGGTTGCTTGGCGCGCTTTGCACAGCTTTAAATAAAGTGGTATAAAAATAAAAGTATTAAATATATTGCAACTTTCTTTTTTTTAAATTAAAGCTTAGCTTCAACTTTTTTAAAAAAGCAAAAATGAAAGAGTTACACAACAAAGAGTAAAAAGTGCGCCAAGTAACTTCGGTCTCCCCTACATATTATAAAGTGCAATACGATAATCCGTGATTCAAAAATTCGTTTTAAATAAAAACAGGGCTTATTAATAAAGACGAGGAGAAGATCTAGAGGTTATTATTTACATGGATTGATTGAAAATACTCATTTTATTTCAAATACAAATATTTATGCAGAAAATTCAGTTAAAAGGACAAAAATTATATTATTTGAAACTTTATTATTAGCGACGCATATGTAACGTACGACCATTTTGGCGTTGTAAATATGGAATTAAAGATTATACAATGTGAGGTTATATGTGACCGTTCTATTCAAATTTTCAAAAAATTTTCTTGTTTTTATAATACTTAGGGCGCACTCTCACCTTTTGGCTGCCTGCCTGCAGGAGTTGTCATGGTAACGTGTAGGAATAATAGACATAGTAAATTCAAATTTGAATTTTCTCTCTTTTACTCCTGCACGTTGCCATGACAACTCCTGCAGGCAGGCAGGCAACCAAAAAGGTGTAAGTGCGCCCTTACACTACCGTCGGAAATTGTGAGAACGCTAACACTGCGAGTCATTGAAAAACATACTCGAATTACAAAGGAAATAACCGCTACAATTATTCCTTGAAATCTAAGCTTTCTTTGTAGGACCTATAACACTGTTCTAGAGTCAAAAACTTTATTTAACAAAAAAAAAAAAAAGAAAACTAACGCTCCGTTGTCAAAATTTGTGTGTAAGATTCAGACAGAGTAAATGTGTGCCTGTTAGTATGTGTGTCATTGTTCATTTTTTATTTAATTTATGCAAATGTATGTCAACTACATAATAAATGTTGGCAGGGCCAATCCTAACTAGGTGCATAAATGGTCTAATCTTGAAAAAGCACCATTCCCTCATCGCGTCAACTATACAGCCAAACACATTATGGGATTGGATTTTTACTTCGTATTCCTTCAACCATAAACCCCACAATACATTAGCAATGATTATGTTGATGATTGCATATTTTTTCTTTACTTTTTGTTTATTTCAGAACAAAAAGTGTATAACAGAAGATTCGTTTGATACTCCAAAAATACGCCAAAAATTCTTGGCACAAGAAATTAACTGTTATTAATTATTAAAGAACTTATCCATAAAATCACAGTCGACCTATCTAGACGATGAATTTAAAATTGGAATAAACGATGTAATATAGGTCGGTGATAAGAAAAATAACCTACTTATTTCATCATTCTGCCGTTATGTGTGTTATTCGAACCACAGTGACCTTGGAGTAAGACGTCTTATCAAAATTCCATTAGTAAATAGAAATCACTAAAAAGTTTTTTCATTTGTAGGAAAAATACTGTTTGCACAAAGATTTCTTGAACTAGGTTAACAAAAATTCAATAAAAGCACTTTTATAATTCTTAAACTATTTATAATTTTGATGAACTGCTTCATTCGTAAATAATAGTTGACTAATTTCATACCTAGGCTATTAAGATAAGTTATGTCTAGACATGTATATTTCCAGCGAAAAAAAATTTGGACTGAAATGTCAAATAAAATTCTAAATTTAAAAAATAGTATATTATGCATCAAGAATGGGAACACCGAGTTTATTGACGAGCATAATGTTTTCGAACAAGACAATAAACGAGGGCCCACCCGCGGTTCATATGCTTTTTTAAATCAAATTATATATATAATATAATTCGATGAACAAACTTTTGAGCTTTAATTTTTTTCAATTTGTCAGCACAAATTGAATAGATGAGTTGGTCATTTTGTTTGAATTTTCAACCGATTAAAACTCATTGGTTATGAATTGAAATGAATCTACAAAGGGCTTCACTGAATCTTGCTTAGCGACAAATACGAATTGAACCTAGCCAAAGAAGTTAATTAATTTCAATTCATCTGAATTAGTTTTTTTACTGGGTACTTTAACAATTTTCTGCGTCTTAAAAACATATTTACTTTGACGTCCAGAGTCTGAAATTTTTAGACCAAATCTAGACGCAGATCATTTATTAACATCCTAGACGTCAAGTTGACATCTATTAGACTTTCCATTTCTCACTGGGATATTTGGCTACCCAACACTGCAGCCATGTTTAAT